CATTTTTGTTCCCATTTTCTTTAAAACTTCCTCATTGTTCATATGGTATTCTCAGCATCCTTCTGTAGAACTACTTTTCTGTTGCTTCAAATTTCCTCTTCATCTGTGAGGAAAGGAATATCTTATTAATCTGTATATTAAATAAAATTAAAAAAAACATGTCAATCTATTTTCCTGATGCATGCAATCTATAACCTATTATGCAGTTGTTACACTGCCACATGTACTCTAGTCAATGAGTATGGTTCATATCCCTCTTAGGGATTAACTTTTTTATTCAAAATTGTCACCTCCTAGATTGGTTGCTCTATTAAGACAAAACAACCTAGTCTGCCCTATTATTTCACCCATAGCCAGTGGGAGAAGAGATAGATTAATGTCTTTCCACTATTTACATTATTCAGACTATTGTCCTCATCTTTGTCGCCATATTTATTACAATGTTTCAGCTGTTGTATGCTCCAGCCTTCTTCAGGTGGTTGAAATGTTGAACTGAACCCTTTATTTCACTCACTGGGATAGACTGTTCTAGTTCCACATGCCATGTTTAATGGATGTCAGTTATCAGTTATTTCCTGTTAATTCTGCTCTCCAAGTTCTCCACTGCCTTAACCTGGTATTGAAACCACACTCTTTGAATCCTGTCACTGGATCTCAAGGACACATGGCACAGTGGATAAAGGCATTGGTTAGATCCAGTGACAGGACCTAAATAGTGTGAATAATGTAAATAGTGAACATAATACCTCATCTCAGAAATATAGACAGATAATGTCTTTTCAATGTGCAAAGTGAAAGCAATTCAGCTTCTTGTAGAATTTGAATTTGTTCCATTTTTAACACCTCTATTATACTCACTGCACCTCTATTTTATACTTTAATTTAAATGTTTTGATCTCTTCAGTCAAGACTCACTTTATTAGAGCTTATATGAAATATTAGATTTAACAGATCAAGGTAAAATATTTGTAACCATTATTAATTTTTGATTAGTATTTCTTTAATCTGAATTTTAATTATTCTGCATCATGACTTATGTTTCATTTTAAAACCATCAATAAACAGGATAGATCAGAAAGCTTTAGGTAACTGCACATAAGTGAATACAATGAGCACAATGAGAATTGGAACTTGGCTCTTTGATTAACATTTCCAAGCTATTACCTATTACACCATCTGTGCATTCAATCTTACAGAACCCAGTATTCGTAAGATGCTCTGAAATAGATATACTTGACTCACTTGAGATGATCCCGACAAGCCTGACCCTCTGAGTCGCCACTGAGATATATATATATATATATATATATATAAAAGAAAAAAAAAATATTCTTTTTTTTTAATATATATATATATATATATATATATATATATATATATATATATCCAGAATTTTCAAATAGAACTCTAAACATGCTTTACTCGAAACAGAGGACATGTCCTTGGTATAGGATGAGGAAGACTTTTAATTATTAGTGTTCATTATTAATTAGGATGATGCACTATTTTAATTACTGAAGTGCTTATTATTAATTATTGAAGGATGTGCAGGTGCTATAATGGATATTGGTACAGAAACTGGAATGAGCTGTGTTCAAATTATGGGCTAGTCTGTCACATTCAATTTTGTATTTATGTCATAGAGAAAGGCATGAATCTAGATTTTTTTCTCCCACCCAGTTATTTGTTAAATAGCAGGATAATGTGGGCTCTCTGTACTTGAGTAGAAATCACTCTAAAGGAATGAAAATTATAAACTTTGGAGAAAGCAAGAAACTATTTTCCCAAAAATGCATGGTAATTCACAGATAATAGCAAAAAGGAGTCTGCGGAGAGCCATGATCACCAATCTCCTGAAGGGATATGGTATTAAGATAAATAAAAATGAATTAGTGATGATCATAGACTAATAGTTTGAATTATTGCTATGAAAAGTAAAACTAAAATTAAGTTCCACTCAAGCAGCTTTTTCACATGAACAGCTGCCTTGTGGAACTAACTCCCAAGAGGATGCTTCTCCAATACAACACAATCTTAGACTACTCAAATCTTGGGTTAACCGTTATCTTCTGTACATATCCCCATAAACTGTACCTCTTACTCTGTAATCCTCTACCTTGTGGCCTCAGGGCCTTCTACATGGTGAACACCACTGTAAAGAACAAAATGAAATTTTTCCTCTGAAAGAGTAGCAAAATAAACCTCATCAATATTATCTCACTTACTTGTTTTTGTTTTTTTTTTTTTATTAGCTTCCTCTTAAAGAATAAAGATGTGGATAAAATTGTCTTTGAATTCTGTTTTGTTTGTTTATTTTTTGCACAATGTAGTAAACATTTTACGTTAACTGCACAAAATGGTACATCAAGTAAACAATCTTAAATACTTTTCACCGAATTCCTTTTATATATCAGCTAAAAAAGTTTAGTCTTTTGACTTTTAAAATTAATATCTTTTCAAATCATGAGTGAAGTCTTTTGCTTCTACTTTAATCTCTCAAATTTCAAAATAAATTTGAAGAATTCTAACCATTTTAGAGCCAGATGTTCATTATATGACAGTGACAGGTCTTTACAGTACATTAGGTACTCATTAGGTTACAAGTGAAAAGAATTCTATAAAATGGAAATGTAATAGACTAGATTCAGTGACTGTAAGAGTCAATGTCTTTGTAATAAATGGGACCTGAAAGGATAGATGGGCAATTTGTCAAGAACTTTACAAACTCTCATCAGTCTTGTAAGAATTTTTACTTAAAAGTTCTACAAATACACAACAGCTTCTGTCTGGAAAAGGAACCAACCAGATAATATTAACAAAATACTCCATTTTTTTTTTCTCTTTTCAAATTTGTCTGTTTAGGATATAAATCTCTTTGGTTTTTAGGAGTGCATATCTCATCCAGAGTCTGAAATCTCCATTTTAACAAGGATTCAGAAAGTTGCAGGGTTTTCAATCCAGAGGAATGAGGTTAATAGGCCTGGGTGATTGAGTGTGATATTTTGCCAGAAACCCTTGCACAAGATATAAACAATAATTTGTCATTATATTTTAGAATGTATGGATCCTTTCCAGACAACTCATGGAATCCCTAAAGCTCTTAATTCTCACACTGTCAACTGCAGATTTCCTTTGATTGCAGCCATGTGTTCAAACTTTTCAGGTGATTTGCCTGTTGAAGGTTTTCCAGTCTATGGATTACTTTCAACGGATTTATAGCCAAGTTTGAAGCTTCAGTACTAAAATTTTATTTAGCCTTCACTTATTAAATAAGCTTTCAAATTGTTTCTACAGATAAATATTCAAGCTCTAAGCCAAACTTGATATATATTTACTGTGGATATAATATTCGCACAATGCATAAATTCATTCAATGGCACTCCAGTGTGTATGTTCATGCATGTGTAGCAATGTCCTCTCTGATTGGTTGTCAAGTTATATCAAGACTACAACCAGTTCTCTTAGTGTTCAAAATGTCTGGATTCTTTGCAGACAGATTTCATAGAAAGTAGTATGTAATACAATTTCCTGATAGTAATTAAAAAGAATAATTCTGTGAATCCCTAATGCAAAGAAACTTCTTTTGGGGGCATGAAATCATTGTGAATAAAACCTATTTACTTTCACATGTTACTGTTACTTTTATATATTGATTCAGCTGTTACTTTTATATATTGATTCAGCTGTTACTTTTATATATTGATTCAGCTGTTTCTTTTATATATTGATTCAGCTGTTACTTTTATATATTGATTCAGCTGTTACTTTTGTATATTGATTCAGCTGAAGTAAGATGACAAAACTGGTCCAAATTAAATATAACACTTAATCTAAGAAAAACATTTTTCTATGATAACATCAAATAAATAATTGCAAGCATACCATGTCTTTTCATTAGGGTAAATTTTCTATTTTAAGCTGGTTACATTTCGACTTTCATTTGAAAGGCCATATTCAGTAAAGTTCTACTGCCTTCTTTTTGTAAACAGAAGGAATGGCTGTTAGGTCTTAATATAATCTGTTTGTGATATATATGCATATAATAGTATATCTTTCTATTCTAAATAAAGAAATGGCAAATTCTTAGTATCCATCCATGTGTCTGAAAGCCCTGTTACTTGGGCTACACTTGCTCTACATATACATATTATATCTTTTTGTAATTAGCATGATCCCAAGATTGAAAAACTGCCCTTCATCTGGTGCTTGAACATCCAGCATTGGGATTTATGTTCTGATAAGGAGAGAGTAGTTAAAAATTCAAATTTTAAAATAACTGAGAAAAATTATTGATTTTAAGTTTTTATATTGAGTTTAATGTAACACACCAAGTTTGTGAATTTTAAAATTTTTGTTTTAAATTCAGTTTAAAATATCTTCAAAACTTTGTGAATTGTGGCAATCAATTTTATTTCTTTAAAATGCCAAGAAATCAGAGTTAGTGTGAGGTTTTGAAGTTTGGCAGAGTTTGTGATTTGAAGATCTCAACTTAACTGAAGTTCTGCAAAGTTTGTAATTTGAAGAAATCAGTTTTTGGCTTGAATTGGACTTATTGTCTGAATCAAAGTGAGGTTTTGAAGTTTCATGAAGTGATTTGAGCAATTTAAAGTTATTTCCTCAAAATTATCATTACTATTTTCTAAGTTGGACCAGAGGTCTCTTTAGTTTTGGACTGGAGGCCCAATAAGTAGCTTAAAAGTCAGCACAGTATACAACTTTTAAGCTAGTTATTAATTATTAAGGTAGTTATTAATATATCTATATATCTTATCCACATTTATAATGTTTTGTGGTGCAATCTGGCTTTTATTTCCTCATCCTCAGAAGAAAAAGGAATGAAAATTAGTCAGCTGTTGGAATTTTTTTTTTTTTCAAATTACTGTTCATAGTAATTATATCTTCACTTTTAGTTTCTTCTCATGTCCATGAAATATTTTTCAATAATATTAATATATATTTTGTCTTTCCTTAATTCATCTGCATTTATTTTTCAGGATACAATGAGGCCAGGTCACCTGACTAATGAGCCGTATGACGGTTATATACCAGTTGGTATCTATGGTTGGCGAAAACGATGCCTGTATGCCTTCATCCTTCTACTCATGATCATTGTTATCATGAATTTGGCACTTACCGTATGGATTCTGCGAGTCTTAGATTTTTCTATTGTGAGTAAAAGTTTTTATTTCTATTGTGTTGATACATACAGATTTTAAAAAGGTCTTTCTTACACTGGACAATTTAATATTAAATTATTGTCTTTAGAAAACATTAATTTCTTTAAAGTCATGACACTCAAAATTATAACAGTCGATGGCAGTTCGTTGCAGTTTCTACATGTCTCACTCCAAATGTGCCACAGAGGAAGGTCAAGAAATCAAGTGTGTGGGTCACTTCCTGACAAGCTGAGGTCCACCATAAACATATTCATGTCATTAGCATTTTATTCTTCTCTGATTTTGTTTCATTTCCAACCAACTGTTGCAAAACCAAATACTGATAGGGAATAGATGATGGGAACAGATTTTGGTGAAACTGGTAACTTCTAGTTCTGAACCTGCATGTTAACAGTGAATGTAGTCATCAGCACCATCATCATAAAAGAAGTGATCAGCAAAGAGGAAATTAAATTCTTGGATACGAGATAAAGCTGCCACCAACAAATTGTGCATATTTCTGCATATCTACTATCTATATTTCTCATGTTGTCTGTCTGTGTGTCTGTCGTGTGCGTTGTTACCTCGCCCAGGCCTCATTTCTCACCCGATTTCAATGTGGTTTTCAACACAAGTTTGCAAATGGCTGCCGTAAAGACATGATGGAGCCCGATTTTTGAGTTTGGAGTCAGGTTCCGAAAAAATCGATAATCGAAAAAATTCTGCTTACAGAAGGAATGATCGCATTTCAACCAAATTTGACACCCTCTTAGAGTCTACCTTTAGAAGTGTTGTCCAAAAGTTTCATGACCACGGACCCCTAAACAGCGCTGAAAAAAATCGATAAAACCCAAAAAGCCGATCGCCCAGAATGCACCTGAACGCGGTCGGTTTTTATAAAAAAACCGAGCGGATTTATGAAGAGGCCATTGGGAGTCATCATGTGAAGTTTCAACTTTGAGCGCCCCAAACAGAGTGCAAATCGACAATCGGTCAACCCGTAAAATGTTTTTTTTTCCGGTTTTTAAAGCTGATCGTATTGTGTTTATTTTGTTTAGTTCTTTTTTCGTAACAGATTTAATGTTTACTATAGAGCTTAGAAAAAGTTGGCAGTGTGATATAGGCAAGAAGTAAGGCATGTAACAACATCAGCACGGCAAAGGGCACTCCTCTAAAGGCAAGGAAGGGCAAAAATATTTTAAGTGATAGCGATTGCTGTATTAGTCGTACTATTTTTGAATCTAGCATGGGCAATGCCGGGCCATGCTGCTAGTACATATATAATTATTTATCATGATGATGAAAATTATATATACTAGCAAGACCTATGAAAATTCTACAGAAGTTGACATTATTCGTTTTCTCATGTCGTCCACCATTAGCCTGTACCTGCTCATTTTCTTCTTTATCTCTTCCAATCTTAAATGCCTGTTCAGTTTATATATATATATATATATATATATATATATATATATATATATATAGGCAGCATATCTTCATTCAAATATATTCCATTGTATAATATAGACATATTGTGTTTACTTATTTTTATACTGATACTTTCCAGTTGTCTAATCAGTTTCTTGATGTTTAGCTGAAATCCATCAAGAAAGTGCCATAATTTTTTTTAACCCAGGTACTTTTGACCTTTTCTAAAATCATCTTCAGGGGTTAATTACAAAGACAAGCATGCTAATGTAACTGTGATAAAATTTGCTTTCCGGTGTCACAGTGATTTTTAAAAACATGCACAAATGCACTCTGTTATAGTTATTTTAGAATTTTTAACTTTTATCCATTGTAGTTATGGAATTTTTTACAAAACAAGCATTTCAATATAAGAGAATTGATTGGGAATTGGTAGAAATGTAAAATGGCATTAGTATATAAATGTTATATGCACTTTAATATGTTGTTGCTATATTCATAATCAATTTTGTTGAATGTTGGTTAATTTTGATATAAAGAGCCTTGAGAATTTGAAGTTTTTGTTTATTATTTATGCGGTGTAGTAGTATATTGGTGTTGTTTATTTCTTCTTCACCCCATCCACTCTTTATCTGGATCATTTTTTGCACCTATTTGTAATTATAGAATTTTGTCAACCAATCACACACACACACACACACACACACACAAATAAAATAATTCCAATGCATATTTTTCATTTTTGATTTCAAAGTAGAGATTAAAAAGAATTCAGTTTACATGTTTTTATTTGGTCTTCTGAGACAACTATTTATTTTTATTTTATTCCTCTTTTATAGTCTTAAGACCAATTCTCATAACCATCCTTGTTACTTTTCTTCACCCCCACCTTCTTCATACAAGTTGTACTTAATTCTGGCAAAAAGAATAGGGTAGACAGGTGTCTAGTAAAATATCATCTAGTCAAACAGCAAACATAAAAAAAGATCCTATATAAATGAAACAACTTATGTTTAGTTGATAAGATTTAAAATATATCTCTTATCAGTTGGTGGTACTTTAGCTTTATCAACTGAACCAGCAAAGTACAGTGATACCTCAGCTTAAGTCATTTGAGTTGAGTCTTTTTCAAATATAAGTCAGTTTTTCTCAAGTATTATATGGAAAAATAAAACTCGTGTAAGTCGTTTTACTTGATTTTACATTGGCCGTTAACAATATTAGAACATCAAAACACTAAAATAACAATAAACAAATATAAAATCATATTTAAATAAATTTATAAATTATGTATAATCATCAAAAATTAACATAAAGTATGTTTAGCAGATGTTCTTATTTCAAATTCCTGCTGACAGGTGGCGCTCGTGCATTGTTTTCTGCTTCAACATCGATTTTAAATTCAGATTTGTTTACATCTGTGATCTGACATTGATTTTCTTTCAATTACATTTTAGTTGTGATTTAGAATAAATACATTGTTGTCCCTGGGTCTGAAGAAAAGTGCAAGTGCTACAGTTAAGCATAAGACTATATTGCTGGAAGATAAAGTGGAAATTATTATACTGTACATACATATCATAATAGGCAGAGGGGTGTTTATTTGTAGTTTATAATGTGGTTATTTCAATTTGTCATTTTTCAATCTAAGTCATGACCTCTGGAACCAATTAACGACATAGGGTGAGGTATACCTGTATATGAATTTCACTAGCTTCTCCAGGATTGAACTCATAATCACTAGGCAACTATGAGATAAATTTAAACTACAGCCTGTCTGAAGTTCTTATGCAAATCAAATAAACCTCAATAACTCATAAACTTCCAAACCAATATTTGTCAAATTTAAACTTGTCCATTTCTACCCTTAGTAAAATATTTAACTAAATTTTCTGCCATTTTTATCGTTAGTTTTTGAGATAATTGTAATTTATGAAAATGGACTGACTGAAGTTAATATGCAGATTAAACTAATATTAGCTTAAGACTTCTGAAATCTAATAAAAATTATTTTTTTTTTTGTCCATAATATATGTTGAAACATGGGTAAAAGGAAGGATGTAATAACGGCTGAAAACAAAATAAATATACTGAATGAGGGAATGTTCACATTGGAGATGTCAAAGGAACTTTACAGAGATCATCAAACAATAAAGAAGGCTGTTGGAAATATAAGTAAGTTGAGGTTTCAAAGCAAAGGAAAAGGCTTTAAGAACTTTCTTCCTCAAGATGAACATAAAATAAAGTGACTTATAGTGAAACAATCAGTTTTGATCAGCACTCAGATCATTGAAAAGGCTGGAGTAGAGGGAATTTCTTAGGCAACCTCCTCTCACTAAAGCAAATATTTTAAAGGATCAAAATTGGGCCAAGAAATACATGAAAATTAACATTTCTAAAGTAATTTTCATGGATGAATCTCAAGTGACATTTGATGGACTTGATGGATGGGCCAAAGGATGGATTTTATCCAATACAGATGTGCCTGTGGCTAAAATAATGCAACTAGAAGGTGGTAGTGCTATGATATGGGCTGGAATTGTTGATCAAATCATTATTGAACCATTCAAAGTTGATGAAACAGTGCTAACTATTGTGACTTTATGAACAAGACTTTCTTTGCAAGCTACAAGTCCCAGTCTTGCAGTTTCAAAGTGAAGTGTGTATTTATGCATGACAAATGCTACTTCTTAAGTATCTAAGCTTACCTGTTAATTCTTTGAGTGTCAAAGATTTACAGGAGAGAAGGTAATGAAATGGCCACCATCAAGTCCTGATCTGAATCTAATCAAAAATCTATGGTTAGTTTTGAAGATGAAATTATATGAAGGTGGCAAACTATATAACAGCAAAGCAGACCAATAGGAAGCAATTAAAACTATCATGTCAAAAATCAAACCTGCTGTAAAAAAAAAAATTAACAAAATCAATGGATGATAGATTACTGAGTATTATTGAGAAGAAGGGTCAGTATATTAAAATGTAAAGGATTCAAAGATTTATCATATGTGTTTGTTATTTGTTCTATTATAGGTATTGATCAATTTTTGATGACTTTATTACCTTTTTATTGAAGTAAAATGTAAATGTATTTGCCTAATAACTTCAGATAGAAGTTTTTTAGAATACATCAAATAACTTCAATAAAACATATTGATACTACTTAAAATTTTAAACTCGGGCTTTGTTTTAAAATCTAAATTGATTGTTTGAAATTTGACAATTTTTTTTCTAACCAAGTTTGAATTATTGAAGTTTATATGATTTGCTTAATAATTTCAGACAGGGTGTAATGTTTTTGTTCATTAGGCTTTTCTCCTATTAGACAAACAAGTAGTTGACTGAATAATGGATTTAACCCAATATCATTTGTCTGCCTCTTCAACTGTACTGATGACTGAGGATAGGAGATCAAGGCAATATTTTTTTAATTGTTGATTTTTATCAGGATGGAAAGAAGTAAAAACAAAATATTGGAAAACCAGATACACTTCATATTTTCTTAGGTTGTCAAGAATATACTTCTGATACAATTAAGTTCACAATATATTTTGCTTCAGATATTCATGTGTAAAAATTCCTCT